GTCCACGCTTGCAAGGTACAGAGGGTGAGCAGCTGACGGCACCTATTTCGTATCTCACACAAACAGGCACGAACTGCTGTCGAGGTTATGTTTACATATTTGCACGTGTTGGGTACGGGTTTCGCAGTCTTCCTACCGAAACATCACAAACACAAAAAAAACAGTCCGCGGAAACGCGTCGTGTGTGTGAAAAAAACAATCCAGTAAACATTTCGCCTACACACCATGATATATTTGAACTACATGAAAAAATAATGTGAGCATGCTGAAATACAGTGAGGCGAGAGCGACGACACGACGTAAAAATCACATGCTTTTTTCGATCTGGTTATCGATCAGGCAATCAGGCGTGGCATGTTCTTTGGTTTGCTTGAGCCATGAGAATCCTCACAAACACCCATGTGCTGCAAACTGCAAGACGCTCTGCGCACACCTTATTTTGATGTAGACGTCGCCAGACTTCGCATGCCTGCCGCAAAACTCCGGCATATCCTTCCCTGGCTCAGCCCACAAGGGCTTGTTGGTGCACGATGGTTCTCCGCAGCGCGGTGCTGCTGCAGGGTTCTCAGCGGTAGCCGCGCTCAGGGTGTTGGCGGTTGGCGGGAGAGCTGCCTTTTCGGGTGTGGGTGTGGGTGCTGCGGGATTCTCAGCAGTAGGTTCTGCTTCTCAGGTTTCACCGGCACCCGCGGTGGCAGGCGTAGCCGGTGCTGTGGGAGTCTCAGTAGCAGTAGATTCTGTTGAGCGGGCCTCAGCAGTACGTGCGGTGTCATGTGCGGCTTCTGAGGGAGTCGTCCGAGCAGCCCCACGTTCTCCCGGGGGGGGTTGGCAGATGGACGCTATTGAGCGTGGGGCCGCCGCTGGAGTCTTGCCCACTGCAGTCTGAGCCGCGGGGCTTTCAGCCGGGTTGTTAACTGCACCACCCTCGACGACATTGTCCGCCTCCATGGCTCTTGCGAGCAGGTGGTGTGGTTGTGATCTCTGTCCTCACGTTGTCACACCGTGTGATAAGCGGGGGCTCCGTCGATTTAATGCGGTCCAACTTCAGGGGGTGTGGTATCTTATGTCACCGTGTGATAAAATGACGTTTTGTGGGGGGGCTGAACAAAATAGCACACGGGTGTGGTATTGTGTACGTTTTCTGAGGGGGTGTGGTATCTAATGAAAGTGTGATATCTTATGCAACCTACGGTAGTCT